TGCTGAAAATGGTTAGAAAAAAGGAAATTTCACTTGAATAACGTTCACAAATACTTATTTTGAGAAAAGTGGGTAAAAAATTCGTGGAATTGCAAATATTGTTGGTGTTTCAAAGTGTGAAGGGGAAACCACATTGAAGCGGTTGGCTGAAACTAACTAATATTAATCAAAATCGCTCTGTCCGACCAAAAAACAAAACAACCCAAGCTGATGATCGATACATTTTATTGATTAGCAAACAGAATCGGTTCAGAACAGCACCAGACATTCGGGCCGACATCAATAAAACCCTGACAAACCCAATTTCGGTGGATACTGTCAAACGTCGTTAGCGAGAAAAGGGTTATTTTGGTCGACATGCTGTGAAAAAAACCACTTCTACGAGCACATAACAAGCGGAAACGATTAATGTTTGCTCGAAAATATAAAGATTGGTCAGTAGATTAGTGGAAGTCTATGATATGGACCGATGAATCAAAGTTCGAGATTTTTGGATCCAGGCGGCGCCAGTATGTTCGGTGAAATAAAGATGAGGGGTATAATCCCCAATGTATTGCACCAACTGTTAAACATGGAGGAGGGTCCGTGATGGTCTGGGGGTATTTCAGTTACGATGATGTTGGAAGACTGGTCAAAGTCGAAGGAGTAATCAAAAATCAACAAGCGTCAACTGCTGCTGATAGGTTCTACAAAATTCGTCCTTTACTGAACATTGTGCGATTCCAATGCAGAAATTTAGAACAGGAATCTCATCATTCTATAGATGAAATGATGATCCCATATAATGGTTCAAGACCCTGAAATTTACGTCAGTACATACAAAACAAGCCTCATAAATGGGGTTATAAGTTTTTTATGCGCTGTGGAGTATCAGGAATCATTTATGACTTTGTTTCCTACACAGGGAAAGGAATGATTACCGATCTAAATGAAGAGGAACAAAAATTTGGTATTGGTGGACAAGTGGTGATTTTACTCTGCAAGACAATACCCCCCGCTTTGCAACCCAAAGTGCTTTTCGATAACTTTTTTGTACATTCGAGCTAATTGCGTATGTAAAAGAGAAAATGCAAATAAATTCACTTGGTACCTTGCGAAAAATTAGGCTTAAAAATTGTCCCTTCAAAGATGATCGCAAGTTACAAAAGGAGGGAAGAGGAAGATATGACTTTTGGTATGATGAGAACAAACTTATAGCAGTAAAATGAGTAGATAAGAAAGTTGTTACTTTGGCAAGTTCCTTTGTCGGAGTACAACCCCTAGGCTCTGTGAAGAGATGGAACGCCGTCGAGAAAAGAAAAGTGTCTTGCCCAAAAATAGTTCAACAATATAATAAGCACATGGAGGGTGTCGATTTAGCTGGTATACTTATTGAGTTGTACAGAGTTCCGCTAAAATCTAGAAGATGGTAACTTAGGATATTTGGCTGGTTGATTGATCTTGCTGTCGTAAATGGATGGTTGGTTTACAGACGAGAAAGTGGGAAGAATAAGCCATGCTTAAAAGTTTTTCGTACCATGATAGCCGAAGGTCTACTGGCCCAGAAACAGAATAGGGGCAGACCATCTTCCACAGAAAACGTCCCATCCAAGAAAAAAGCTGTCATTTCTAGACCAGTAGAAGATGTTAATTACGACGAAATTGACCATTTTCCGATTTATGCAAATAAAGGGAGGTGTAGACATTGCAAAGATGGTTACTCAACAGTACACTGCCAGAAGTGTAAATTAGTTCTGTGCTTTGTGCCCAAAAGGAACTGTTTTCATTCATTTCACAATAAATAAAAATTGTTATTTTTCTCTATTATAACAGGCAATGTTGCTTTCAAGCAACATTGTTTTTTTGTCAAAAAAGTAAAAATAAAGTATTTTTCAGTTCAAAAGTGTTAGAGTAAACATTTTGTGTTAATTTATAATAAAAAAACATTTATTTGTATCTTTTTCATAGCCTTGCCAAATAAAGGGTTAAGCAAAAATAATTTGTTGTTGTTTCCCATTTTGCTTCCATGAAAGCGTTGTTTTAATTTATATAGAATTTTGCAGTGGATGAAGGTGTTATGTAGTGTTTTTTGTTTCAAATTTTTCATATATAAGTAACGAGAAGTTTCTAATACCAGGTTTTTCAATAGGAACTTGACAACTTTCAACTTTCACTGTGAAAGCACCTTTATCAATTACTGAACTGTCGGTGCCAAAACAATCAGTAAACGTCATGGTGAAATACACGAACGAACAACGCTTACAAATAATTAAAATTTGCTACCGAAATTCCGAGACAATGACTGCAACTTTAAGAGCGTTAACGCCAATTTTTGGTCGTAATTCTCGTCCCAGTAGACAACCAATTCATAGTCTGGTAAAAAAATTCGTTTCCACATATTCGCTGCTGGATGTTCCCGTGTCAGTGAGACAACGGGTTGGTCGAAGTGCCGAGAATATTGCTGCCGTTCAAGCTTCCATCGCAAACGAACAGAATCCGTCGATTTCATAGCGTTCTCAAGAATTGGACCACACTATGACGAATTTTGCGAAGAGATCTTGGCCTGCACTCTTATAAGAACAAGTTAACTCAAGAACTAAAGCCGTTCGATCATATGAAGCGACGTACGTTCTCGAATTCGGCTCTAGAAATGTTGCAAGAAAATTACCAATTTCATCGCAAAATCATCTTCAGGAGCATTTGTGGCTAAACGGCTTCGCCAACAATCAGAATATGCGTTATTGGTCAGGTAAAAACCCTCATGCGCTTCAAGAAACACCACTTCATCCACAGACAAAAAACCGTATGGTGTGGTTTTCATGCCTGTGGTGTCATTGGGGCGGTTTTTTCGTTGATGAAGATGACCGTCACGCTATAGTCAACGGAAATCGCTACAGAGACATGTTAGATATGTGGCTTCAACAAGACGGCGCCACAAGCCACACAGCGGGTGAAACAATCGACATATTGAAATAAAAATTCGGTGAACGTGTTATATCGAGAAATGGTCATGTAGAATGGCCGCCTAGATCGTGTGACTTAACACCTCTAGACTTTTTTTGACCTATGCCAACAAGCCAACGTCGTTAGAGGAGCTCAGAGCTTGAACGAGAGATAGCGGTCGTTTCTGTCGAAATGTGTGGCCGTGTCATTAAAAATTTGGTTCAACGGATCGATTGCTGCGAGTGGCCCTGATGAACATATAAACAAGGTCGAATTCCGTACATAAATGTTTTGAGTATACTTCAATCCAATAATAAAATGTTCGAGATACCTCGAATGGTTTGCGTTTTATTTAAAAAGAATGTTGGTAAGTCCTTAATGGAAAACCCTTTATACACCTTGGGAAAAACATTATTATACATTTTATAAATGAGGAAGAGAGATGGAAATATACAAAAGTATGTAGGTGCGTGAAAGACACTCGATTGTAGGATCCTATCTGGCAGCGTCGGAGTGTGACGGACAACGGGGTAAAGTAGAAGAGTGATAAAAGAGAGAGATGGCAGAACGGGCGCTGGCGCCTACCGCTTAGACGGATGCGCTCAACAAATGCGATTTGTTTCTCCTATTCGCAGAGTTGCCGATACCAATATGTCATATTTCTAAGAAATCTAAGTCTACCCAAATTTAGGGAAAAATAGCTGCGGATTCCACATAAGAGTATTCCAAAAATGAAAAAAGTTCAAACTATTAAAATTGTTTCAATGTTTCATGGTTCAAATCATATTTTTCATGTTTGTATATTGTTGTATAAATGATTTTGTAATCCCTATTCTTGTTGCCAGTACAGATACAACAGTATTGAGAGAAATCATGGACCACTAGATAGGGCTACAACTACCATATGACTATCAAATAGTAGTGATAAACAGGGTTTGTTTATAGCACAGTTGCCTGGTGTGGCGAATTTGCGCCATAGGGGCGATTTGACAACTTTGAAGGACAACTATAACGGTTACTATGGTGCCCGGTATTCGGGAATCTGGCAATACCTGATGATTCCTAACGTTTATTACGCCAGATTGTTTGCTAACTTGGGCAGTACAACATGACAATCAACGTGACTGAGCACCTGGTAACCCTGGTTTAAGGTGTTATATTTAAAGAGCTTGGGGCAGTTAGGTATCTAGGTCACATTTTTTAATGTATTTCGAGAAATCCGTAATGTTGAGTAAATACTAGATCACGTTTCTTGCTTAGTTTGCTGAAAATTCTACAATAGACGTACATTTTGAGAAACAGAGATTTGGTGACGACAAAATCGTAAAAATATAACGCATTTTCGTAAAATAATTTCTTTGTTGAAAAGACTGTGGCTTGATGACCCATTGAACGAGTATAGTGTCCCGCTCCGCTTTGAATATTCGAAACACTATACTCCAGCAGCATTCAGCTTCAATGTTATCTTTATGAAGTTCTAATGTCTAGGCCATGCTGATTAAAAGCTTGAATGAATCAACACTTAACTCTAAATTCCCCACAATTCGGGAAGCTCTACTCAAATTGGCAACACAGCGTATCTGCCTATTATTCTCATTCGTGATACAGGTCTGCGGTTAACGGTAGAAAATATGTACGAATAGCGATGAAAGTAGACGAACCGATGCGCTGTTGCCAATAAATGATTTCCCATGTATAACAATGGTTTTTCCGTGAGAAAAGTTTACAATGAAAAACTTTAAACCTAATTTTCTCAAAATCTGAATTTCTTCTATAAGAAGGCCATATTCATCAATAACTAGTTTCGGTTTACGACTAAGGTGTGGCCGAGACCGAAATTTCGGTTTTGTTTCTTGTTAAAAAAACAATTTCTGTCTGCCGCTAGCTGTCGGTGACAAGGTGCATACATACGCTTATTTCCGCGTAACCACGGGTTTCAGTTGATTTCGGAATCTTCTGGTAAAATATGTTAATGCTCTCTTGACAAAATCAAGTTTGGAAACAAACCCCTAATCCTTCCAGCATCAGGTTTTTTAAGCTACTGAGAATTTACTAAAAATAAAGTAATACTGCTTCACCTAAGAAAATGCATGACTATGGGTCCTTATCCTCTTATGTATCGCACTGAGATGCGAATGGTGCCTCTGAGGCGGCTGCATGGTGAGGGTACGGCTCGTCTTGCGCAAAACTGAAGAGCTGGGACCTTCGAATCGTAGATCGAGCGAATACAGGGCTGCCAATTGCCCTAGCTTCTCCCTTTCTGCACCGTAGATGCGCAACTCTGATTTGGTCATGTCTTGGAGGAATCTGGCTACTCGCTCGTTGGCTATCGTGCTGATACTGAAGCCTGGGCGTTCTTCGCGAACACGACGGCACCCTGGAAGTGAAGTACTCTTAATGAAGTATCATGGGGAGGTTAGCATTTAGTGAACCGAAAGCTGGAACTACAAAACCTTAAGGCAAGATAACATCTTACTATACTGTAACTATCTAAAACTGTAATGACTCATACGCGTAATTAGAGCCTGACCGCAGCCAGGCGACGGAACCGCTGTCGAGAGGCGTTAGGATAGAATAGGGTGGTATTCTAAACTCTGAGTGTTAGATTTAAACATTTTAAATAATACACATTTTATTCTGGTAAAAATATGTCCAACAATCATCTTGACAAACTTTGAGATATTAGAATACCAGTATGTTAATAAACAAAATTTGGGAAAATATGGGCCTACCGTTTTAATTCATTTCTTTATTACAATTTTGATTTTTATATTATACTCACAAGATCTCATTCATTTGTTATAATAATCTTGAGTAAAACGGTTTATGAATTTTTGGACTTGTTTTAAGGAGAAACCTTCCATATAGCAATCTGCTCGAATACATAAAATATTTAAAAATCACGATCGTGCTACTTTAACTGCCTACGCTGCCTGGTGGATCATACTGCAATTCAAGATGATTTTGTGGCCTTAAAAATCATAACCTACTGTTAATCCACTGATGAGCTCGTCTACTTGTAATAAAGTATTAAAACCAGTCAAAATCAATAAACATGCTAAGAGTAAGGAACGCGCATGAATATTACCATAATTAATCTGAAAAGAAGAATGAAAGCTGATTCCGGTCCTGAGATAAGATGACGCTTCCACGCTACAAGTCCCGATACATTGGCGTAGACTATAGTATAGTAGTGCTTGGAACTTGTTTCGTTGAGAGTTTAGTTACCGCGTGATATTGTTTGTTGTTAGAAGAATTGTTATTTGATTATTTGTTATTGTTCGGGTTATACTTATATTTCCTTAACCATGGAGGGTGAGACTGGGAGTGAAGTATCGTGCTCAACGTGTTCAATTATTTGAACAAGACTATGTCGCAGAGAGATGCAATTACGGGTTGCGAAAGCATGACAGGCGTCCCAGAATGAACTTTTCGCAGGGTGGGTTATGAACAGAAGAAAACTGGAGCTACCGCTGATGCAAAGTTCCATTTGAAGGAACGAATCGCCTTTAAACTAAATGGCGACAGCAAAATGACGTTAAGACGAACCGTAAATTCATTCTTTATTAGGAATGAGATCCAACCCTTAAGGCTATACATGCAAAAATCAAGAGTAAAGACATTACCCCCCAGTGAGCGTCGACGTATTAAGAAAAACCCTGCATGACTTAATTTTCGTTACGAAACGTGTAATCGGAAGTCAGGATTCATAGAGAAACCTGAAATAGTCGCGTGGTGTCGAAAATACCTACGCGCAATAACTGAATATAGACGACAGAGCAGAAAAATATATTATTTGGACGAGACGTGGGTAAATGCAAGTCACACAGTTAATAACACCTGGCTGGACAAAAATGTACTAAGTGACCGAGAAGCAAGCATTGAAAGTTCGTCAACAGGTCTTCGTGGACCGTCAGGAAAAGGTCAAAGATTGATCGTTACACATATTGGCAGCGATAGTGGCTTTTTAGAAGGATGCAACTTGACTTTCGTCTCTAAGAAAGGTGGTGATTACCATGACGAAACGAACGCCAGCTGCTTCGAGAGCTGGTTTCAAGGGGGTTTTTAAGCGAGTTGAACCCAACTCTGTGATTGTCATGGATAACGTGTACCAAATATGGGGTCTCGAAAAAATGAGATGCAGCATAGGTTGCGCGAAAAGGGCATTCCGTTTGACCATTTAAGTGTAAAATCGGAACTGTACCAAACAATAATTAAACATCACAAACCTGCGAACATTAGATACGTGATGGCCCGTCATTGTGGTGTCACTGTGCTGCGTTTACCGCCCTACTATTGTGAACTGAACCCAATAGAGCTCATTTGGGCTCAAGTGACGGGTTATATTGCGCGACATAACACAACTTTTGAATTACCAGACATCAAGGCTTTGCTAGAGAATTCCATAGAGTTAGCAACGCCTGAAGAGTGGCAGAATGCTGTCCGACATGTTGTAAAGGAAGAAACAAAAATTTGGCAGCTTGACCACAACATCCATTCCATGATGGAGTCAGTTATAGTCAATCTTGGCGAAGAAAGCGATAGCGACAGCTTATTACTTCAGATGGAAGTGGAAGCGACAACTAATGAAGAGAGGTAGACTCAATTAGCTCATGTATAATCAGAAAAAAAACTAACAAAGGTAATCTAGAAATTTCTGATCTCTAAACATCTTTTAAACCATTTCCTTTTTTATTAAACGTATAAAAGAAATCAAGTTCACCAATATTAAAAATTCTATACCCCGCCACCGAAAACCCGACTACCTGTGGTTGAGTGATGTTCACGTGAACATTGATGAGTCATTGCAGTTTTAGATAGTTATGGTATAGATTGATATTAGCACAGGTATCAAACACCGTTTATCTACTTGACGATTAATGACCTGAACCAAGTCATTCCTCTTAATGAAATCAGCTGAAAGAGTGCTAAAAGGTTGCAGGAAACTTTAGTCAAAAAATTAAACAGCTGAGGATGGTATCTGCAGAATATTATTCACAAAACTATTGATTAACGTATTCTATCTGAAAATAGACAACCGGAAACTGTATTCGCGCGTCCGAAAATGTATCCGAGATGAAATGGGGTATATGCTCATATGTAGCATAGCAATATCACCATATATGAGACTAGCCTTTTCAAGTTGAGAAAGGTGTCTGCGACAAAGGTATTTTTTTCATCTAAGTGGCTCACTGCACAAGTGCCCCGATAGCACGAAATATTCATTAAACATTTATTCAACATTTAAAAATATTTCAATCTTATTAAAAAATTTGTTATCTCAAACACATGCTTAATAAATATTTGGATTATAACATTCTTAATAAATATTTAATCAATATGTATTATTTATTTTAAATACAATAATTTTTTTATAATATTTATCAGATACGTTTCAACCAATGGAAAATATAAAACCTTCATTATTTAGAAAATATTTATTAAATATAAAAAAAAACGAAAAAACACGTTGCTAAGTAATGTTATCAAGAAGCACGAGTGCAATAAAAATCCAAGTCGAAGACGAGAGTTTTTGCCCCTGCACGAATGTTTTTTTGTTAAAAAAATATTACTTTGCATTGTTTTCTCGATTTTTTTCAGAGGAAAAAATTAGATGTCGGAATGGTATGTGACAAGACTATTTCATGAGTAACAGATTATTTTGTATACACATAGCTTACAAAACATACTACCAATTAAAGATTTTTTTGAGTACATACCTGCAAATTTCTTCGTTCCGCATTACGAGCTTCCCTGCTAGACTTAAAGATAATATCTTTAAATGGATCAACAATTATTTTCCACTTCATAAAATACATCTGTTGCATTTTATTGCAACAGTATTCCACAACTAGTTCTTTTTGATATCCACCGTTTTCTTTCTTAATATTCCACGCCCAATCTATCAGGATTGAGTTTAGTTGCTATGAACTTGTAGTTTCTAAAAGCTCGCATGTTTTTGCCTTGCAGAATTCCGTAAACTGTTTACATATTGACGTATGCATTTTAACGGTATTTTCTCAATCGCCTGAACAATATTATTCAAAAAATCACTTCCAAAGCGACTCATTTTCACTACATAACCAAATAGCACTGTTTAAACACAATATTAGAAAATGTATTGACTACAAAATCAGAAAAATTGTTTAGCGCCGTTTTCTGGAATCCTAGAAGACCATAATTACGTCTTATCAAAGGTATTGTAATTTTTGGCGCAGATAAACTCGAAAAAACTGCTGATAGGTGCTGTCATACAATTTTTCCGTCTAGAAATCATTTGTAATTCGAAATTGCGCGTTTGTGATTGGTAGACATTAAGACGAGGCAATTAGTCCCATACATACACTTTCTAGAGCAGTTCAGGAGTATATCAATCTCAAACAAAAAAAAAACACTGGATAGCAGCTTATGTATTCAATCATACTTCATAACAAGTAAGTTTTTTTAGGGATGTGAATTTGCAAGATGTAGAAGAGGTCTAGAGCAGGTTTATTTTGCTAAAATAACAAATGAAGCATTTTCAAGAATACATTGGTAATATGTAATCAGATTAATGCTTGAAAATATGTTGCTTCATATGTTTCCTAAATATGTTCGAAAAATATCAGATATTTCATCAAAATATAAAGCTTTCCCCATATATTTTCTAAATGTTTGGAAAAAATATCGTGAAAATATATAAATTATATATACCACAAATAACTAAAATAAATATTTTATGAATATATAAAACATTCATTCATTAAATATTAAAAAATCTGTCGCTACAAATATTTAGCAAACATTTTTTTTAAATATTTAATGGATATTTCATGCTATTGGGGTGCCAAATGACTTTTCTTACATGTCAAAAGGAACGGTCAAGTAAGTTTTCCATTTCAGAACCTTGTCAGATTTCAGTATTCTATGTTAATGATACAAATCTATAAATGTTCAGTCAAAGTTTCGTAAAATCTTCAACTAAAACTGATCACACGCCAAGAAGAATATATACATAGCCAACCTCCTCCAACCATGCAATCAAATGAGTTAATCTGACTAAAGCATGTACTGAGAAGCATATGCTCCAGAGGTGATGTGGTAGTGAAAATATCACATCACTTTGACAAATGGAATGCATCGACATATGAGGCGGCTGATAAAGTGGCCAAAAGGAAAGCGTCTAGATTCTGATAATTTCGGATAATTTGTCGGACGCGATAATGTAGTATAAGGTTGGCTATCTTTATGTAGAATATGTTAATCAATGATAAAACACAACTCTCATCCAGGTAATGAAAACAAGCAAGACATTTTCAAAAAATTGTTGGTATCATCAAAATAATCGCGTGATACTTATTATAGAAACATACATACTTCACAAGTAAGATAATGAAAGGGCATAATTACCTGCTCTTATTTCCCGGGGGTCATTTTCTGCCCAAGGAGGTTGATCAACAGCTATGGCATTGTCCATAGGCGGCGCCCAATCAGTTAGCTCATCATCACCTTCGTGGCCTTCTCCACCACTCCAGCTAATGCTACTTTCACTGGCACCATCCCAGTTGTCATCAATTGGTTGTACTTCCATTGAGTTACTCTACAACACAAGCAAATATTATTTAGAGACTCAAAATGGAATAGTTTTGAAACAATATACAGGGAACCTGACGTTTTTGCGATAGTCAGTACTCTGCCGATATGAGGAGTGGGGAACGCAATTATCGAGCATTGAGCTTCCGATTGGATGCCGTTTCAGTAGCTATGGACCATGATAATGCTGTGATTATCATGAGTGACGAGGCGCATTTCTATTTTATAGGAATGTTAATAAACAGATTTTGAGGCACTGGTCCCATGAAAATCGCCGTGTAATTCACGAAAAACCTTTACACTCAGAGCCTGTAACGGTTTGGTGCGCAACAACTCCATTTGGTATCATTGGTCCCTATTTTTTCGAGGACAAGAATGGGACAGCCGTTACAGTCAATGCCGAACGTTACTGTCACATGTTAAACTGCGCAGACTGGTAATGAACTTATAAAATGTTCTTTTCCAACAGGATGGTGACACAGCACACACTGCTCGTGTGTCGAAGGAAGTGCTTCGAGGCATGTTTCAAGAAAGGCTAATTTCACGATTTTGCGACATTGCATGGCCGCCTAGATCACCTAGTTTGAGCACATGTGACTTTTTTGTGGGGGTATCTGAAATCTAGTCTATATTCACAGACCCCGCACATTGGCAGAATTGAACGCGGCCATCCGGTAAGAAGTTGCACTAATCTAGGATGCAATGATGACGCGTCAAATATTTTTTTTTAAATCACAATGTACTATTCATTTCAAAAATGTCAATTTCCCGTGTGTCGCCCTGTATATGATACATTTCTTCATGTTCTACAAGTATTAAAGGTGTTCCACTTCTGATATTGGAAGGCAATGTCACTTATCATGATCCTTGATTAGTTTGAGTTACACTGAACCATTGAGAGAAAATATTTGGTCAGCTGCTGCCAACAGAGATAAAGCATACTTGACGCATGGCATAAGATTTAATCAGCAGCTGAGTGCTACTAGAATATACCTCCACGTTCGACAGTCCGTCTACCACCTACGGACAATCACAACATCCATAGCCAAGAGAACACACTGGACGGGATTCGAACCCGCACGGAGACCGAAGAGTCTACCACTGCGGCCACCGCTGCCGCCTAAATATATGTTAATACGGTTGTCAGGTATCACGGCAGCCTCACCTCAAGCCGGAGGAACGTAACAGAATTCTGCAAACGTACTAAAAGCTCGCTCTAATTTCTTCATTAAAATTATAATGGCGTGACGGCAGATGTTCATCTCGAGCGTTGGACTTTTGCACCTCAACAATGTACTGTTTCAAAAAGATATGGCGATGAAAACTTTAAAATTGTTAAAGATGTTTTTCTAATGGCTGCGTGGTTTCTCTCAATGGTGCAATCTAACCCTGCTTCACGTTTTTTGTGGGGATACTGGATAAAGTCTATTTAAACAATCCACAGATAGATGATTCATGACTTGAAGCAAATCATTTCCCAAGTTATTGATAAAATATTCGCTATTCTATCAAACGTTTTCTGAAAATTTTAGTTGCAGGATCTTAATCTGTAGAGACAACTTTAACTATTAACATTACTTACAAAAAATAACTTCCATAATTGTATATTCTGATAAAAACAAGCAAGATATTTTTACAAAATTGTTGGTTTTATTTAAGATTCAAATTCTTAGGTAGGTAGACTTTTACCTACAACAAATGACTTACATCTTGCATGCTACAAGACTGTTGAGGCATCTGGCCAGGTGCTTGGCAAAACTTCTCAATCTTATTTACAAGACTTTGATGCAATGGCTTGATTTTCATGCTATGTCTGGAACTTCGACCAGTATCCATCAATTCCAACCTTTGAGATCTCTTCCTTTTGCCACAAGGTGGCACAGGAGTTTCATCAATGCTGATCCTTTTCAATTTTCTTTTGCGTCTTAAGTTGGGCCTAGCTGGTGAGTGTTCATTTACTGAGTCACTCTCGAGACTATGACTGACACCTAAGAGTACAAAAACATCAGACATTGAAGCAGAAATATAGTTTAATAGACAACATCCACATCTTACAAAAGGTTTTTATAATGCCTGACTGCAAGAAAACTAGCATAATTCAAAAAGCTACATTATTGGGAAAACTTATTACAACTGCAATTTTTCAGTGGTGCTTCCAAATATGAAATTAAAAATCTAGAACGTCATACTCGCCAATACAAACAACTATTAACGAATGATAAAATGTTTCCCAAAAATAGAAATTAAAATAAATTTTTAAATCTGACATTCTTCTTTTGTAATAAATGTGACACTGCAGCCTTAACACAGGTAGCATACAAAGTAACACTTTTTAAGATGTGATGTTTTACCAGACCCGCAATGATATGTTTGTTATATATTCGATTTGTTAACTTATATATTTTTAATTGAGACAGTAGATGTTTTATGATTAACTTATATATTATATATGTATATATATAAACTTCAGCCAGTTTCACATTGCTTAACATCGGACGTGCTGACAATCCATCACTCCATTGTCAGTTGTCACTTCGTACCAACTCAACATGTTTCACATTAATAGCAACTTAAAGATATACATTTCACAACATCTCCCCTGCTTTAAGGCTGATGCGATCCTATCTCTCAGACAGATTCCAGGTTGTTTGCTGTAATAATCAAGCTAGTGAACCTATCCTTGGACAGACCGGTGTGCCTCAGGGTTCCATGTTGGGTCCACTCCTCTTTGTCATACATGTGAATGATTTGCCACAAGCATTCAAAAATGAACATGGTATAGAGATCATACTATAGACTGATGATGCAACATTTGGAATTGCTGTAGAGAGGGGCGCGGACGCAGCGCGGATACTTGGGAGCGTCCTGGATCGGGCTAAGGCGTGGTTTGTCACAAACCAGCTTGTTCTGAATGAAGTAAAAACTGAAACTCTTTGTTTTAAAACTAAACCTGTCAGTACGGTTGGACAAATGACTAAAACTAAATTGGGTGTAGTGTTGGATACTAGTCTGTTGTATAATGACCTTGTAAATATTTTATGTAATAAATTAAACAAGGAATTTACTGTCAATGAAATAGCTGCACTTACAGCATATTATTCTCTTTTTGATTCTATTCTATGTTATGGACCTTTAGTTTGGAGCTCTGCAGCTAATATACATACTGAAAAAGTGTTTAAAGTTCAGAAATCTGCAATAAGGTGCACTGCTAGTTTGAAGCAACATGAATCGTGTGGCCTTGCTTTAGATCATTGAATATAATAACTTTGTATGTCCTGATTATCTATGAAAAATTAATATATGTCAGAAAAAATATTTCAGACTTTTTTAAGTGCGCAGGTTTTCACTCATACAACACAAGACATTGCAATAATCTGGTAATTCCAACAAACAGATTGGCTAGAACCAACAGTGAAGAAATCAAATTGTACAATGCGTTGCCAGGTGAGGTGAGATCGCTTCAGCTGAGCAGATTTAAATGTAAATTGAAATCTGTATTAATAGGAAGTGTATTTACAGTTTTGAGGAATATTATGCTTTGGCAAGAGACAGGCAGGCCATCTTGACTAAATTGAGTGGATAATTTAATAATGTTATTAGTGTCTTTTTGTATATTGAGTTTATTATAGTTAGAGTACTTTTATGTCTGCGATACTGCACTTTTCTTTTTTCAATACTGACATATCTATGAATACTTATGTATTTTTTCTATGATCAATAAAGATTAATATTATTATTATTTACAGAACTAATTCACATTACAGTCTAGCCCACTATATAATCATTAAATCTACTGGGCAGTCTATGAATCATTTGATTATGTTGCACACATGCACTGTCACTAATATCATTATCATAACTAACATTATGTTCATGGTTAACAGGTCTCAAATCTGTTTCGTAAGCATCAGAATGGAAAGTGGGTTCATTAGGTGACTTTCAAGGTGGATACTATTTCTGCGCACTAATTCATTATTTTCATTCTGGATCTTGGCATCATGTGCCTTTTTACCACCTTACCTGGGACCCACGTTTGATCCTCTGCTTGAATAACGACATTTTCTCCTACATCAAACTCACTTCTAGGCCTAGCATTCCTGTCATAGTATATTTTTTGTCTAAATATCATTATGTCACACCTTATTTGTTCATAATCATTATGAACTACTGGTCTCAAAGCCTCAGAGGATACAAGCTAATTTGATCAAATATTTTTGTTCATGAGAAGCTGTGCTGGAGTTTTATTTAGACAACTAACAGGTATGTTACTATATTCCAGCAGACTCAAATGTAAATCACCTGATTTTCTCAAAAAAATTTTTGCAATATGTACTGCTGTTTCTGCTAACCCATTGGCTCTAGCATAATTTTGACTACTTGTGATTAAGTTAAATGCCCATTCTCTAGCAAACCTATGGAAGATATACGAGTTGTATGGAAGATTGTCAGCAATGAATTCCTCAGGTATGCCATGCTGGGAAAATACTATTTTACAAATGGCTATTACACTTTCTGCACTTTTATCTGATAAAGGGTATACTTCAAGCCATCTAGAAAAATAATCGACTAATAGTAGATAACTTTTCCCCCCAAATTCAAAAATATCACTTGCTACTTTCTGGAAAGGCCTATTGGGAATTGAATGAAATATTGGCTCCTTTATGTTTTGGGGCCTAAATTTTTCACAAATTTTACACTTACTTATGAAGTTTTTGATATCAACTGACATATTCAACCAGAAGAGATTAGCTCTAGCTCTTTGTAAAGTTTTAGTAATACCCATGTGATTTTCATGTAATAAATTCAACATCTGGGTCACCAAATTTTTAGGTACAACTAGCTTGTCATTTACAATCCTTCAACAAAATCTAGATCACTTTATATGGCCAAAACCTTTTAACACTATCAAGAACCCTTTTGTAATTTTTGGGCCAACCTTCATTTATATATTTAACAACTTTTTGTAGCTGTGGATCCTTGTGAATTTCAGTTTTAAACAATTCTCTTTTACTTTGATTTGATTGTAAAGTATTTTTCCACAGAATGAACACTTTCCAAGAGTTCTAGATCATCTACTGAGCTTTCACTTACATGTGACCTAGACAAGAGGTCAGCAATGTGTAATGTTTTACCTGGCTTATATACAAGATTTAGATTATGTTTAAATAATTTCAGATTAAATCTCTGAAGTCTATGAGAAGCAATCTGACATGTTTTTTGTCATAATTCCTAATAACGGCTTATGATCAGTAATAATAGTTACTTTCTTACCATAGATAAAATAATAAAATGTCTGTGTAGCAAACACAATAGCATAAAACACTTTCTCAATTTGAGAGAAATTCTTTTCAGACTGTCAAACTTTTACTCGCATAATATACTGGTGTGGCCCATGTTCCTGTCCACATCTAAAGCATGAAAATTTCTGTGTTCGCTTTTTATATTCTTTACCTTTTGCTACCTTATTAACTACTGCTATCATTTCCCTGTACAGTTTTCACTTGATCTTGTGTGATTTCAAAAGCTCTGCACTCATCTTCAGCCCTCTTCAGATTTAAATCGTTTTTACCCAGCAACCTCTACTGCAATTATTTTTTCATTAATCGCCAGAACTATTCTGCCCCTTATTAAGGACTCTGCTCTTCAAACTCGCACGAATTTGACAGCTTCTTGAGGTCAGTCAGGAAGTGATCAAATGGCTCTCCTTCCTCTTGTTTCCTGGTGAAGAACTTGAACCTATCATATACGACATTCTTCTTTGGACTTGTGTATCTCTCAAATTCTGCCATCACAGCCTCATAACTTGCCCGTTCTACATCTGTCAACGCCAATGTGTTAAAAATTTGCACCCCGTCTTCACCAATCAGGTTTAGAAATAGAGCCACTTTGACAGCATCAGTCTGGCAACTTTTCCCTTTGGCCACCAGGTAAATTTCAAAGTTCTGCTTGAACATTCTATAATTCTCAGCTAAATTTCCGCTGAATACCATAGCTGCTGGTGTTCTAAACTCCAGTTTATAATTTCTTGTTTCTTGCACAATGCACAGGTCGCTTTAAGGTTAGTTTTACACTTTAATTGTTTGTCACCTAACACTTAGCTTAGGTTTAAATTCGTTTCATCTAGTGTACTTGTCGCAGCGCCAACTTATATTTTTGATTTGTTAACATATATTTTTCATTGAGACACTAGATGTTTTAGGATTAACTTTAATTTTACAAAACATATACACTGATTTATTTTAGAAACTTCGGCCAGTTTCACATTGCTTAACATCGGAAGTGCTGCGGATGCGGATCACAAAACGACAAAACACGTGCTGATGACAATCCATCACTCCATTGTCAGTTGTCACTTCGTAACAACTCAAGATGTTTCACATTAATACCAACTTAAATATATACATTTCACAACAATGTTCACATACGGTGGTTTGCACCGGTTCGGGTTAAAGTGAGGGTTAGCGTTAGCGCTAACTTCGAGTTAGTCTTTGCACCGTCATAGTTATCTCGGAGTCAAGGCCTAACTCTGGGATAAATTTACCTCTCACTTGAACTGGGTGTTAAGGCGTATAGCACCATGAAAATGCAGAGTAATACCTGCGCATCGCAATGCGTACCGACAATAAAAATGAAAAAAAGGTTCTTCACTTAATGTGCAATGATGTGCAACTCCACCAATTCAATGCTCCCAATCACCTAGTGTACTTGATTTGCTTTTAAAAATATGGCAACATTGTATGTGCAAGGATTCAAACAAAACACAATATACTTTTTAGAAATCATATAATAATCATCTTCAAATTACAAATTCTGAAAATACCCATTGATGATTAACGTCCTCGTTGTAGATGCTGGAAGTGATGAAACATATATGTTGATGTTTGTTATTTCATCTCATTCCAGAAGTTGGTTGAATGTATGGGAATCCAACTCATCTGGTAAAGGTGGCACATTCTCATCTCCATCAGCAATAACTATATTGTGTAGCACTGCCGTAGCCACAATTATGTTCAAAAAAGTGTAACGTGGAGCGTTCAATCGTCCGGAAATATTCTTGTCGTTCGTAAATTCGTCTAGGTATTTCAAACTCTAATAATTCCAGAGGAATAAGGTCCTCCTCATCGAATTCTTCATTATTTATGGTTACATCCATAATTACCAGGGTGCTTTGTGGACAATGCTGTCGGCTGCATGATGCGACTTGTCGATCCACAGCGAAAAATATTTTCAACATCCCAACTTCCAAACAGAATCACTAATATATATACAGGGTGTCCGCAAAGTTGGGGTTTTCCTTTTCAGAAACAACTACCCTTGAAATAACAAAGGTAATGTGTAGTGAAACGAGGGCGACCAAGTAAAAAAAATAAAGGAAAAAGTACTCACTCTCCAGTTGACGAGAAGGGCTAAGTACGTCTCTGCCTGAAATCGAAAGTTATTCACCCCATTACGCGTGAACGTAGATTCGTCTGTCACCAATATGCACTTCAAAAAGTCCGGATTATTGTCATGTTGATGCAACAACCACTCACAAAACCGCACTCTTGCTGGAAAATCGTCAGGTTGAAGGGCTTGCACACGTTGGACGTTTGCCACACTTTAGTTTTTGATACATGCACTTCTCTAGCCACGTCTCTAGTGCTTGTTGAGGGATTCTCGTCTACGCGATTCAGTAGTTCTTCCTCAACTTGCACCATTCGTGGTTGTCTAGGCCTCCCACTGTGCCCATCTCGAAATTCCTCCAAATGGCCCGTATCCCTGACTCTCTGGACCAGGTACATAAATCTGCGGGGCCTTGGATGATGTCGTCTAGGGAAACGATCTGCATACACTCGCGACGATCCTGTAGCATTTTGAAGACATTCGCCATAAATTAACAACATATCAACGAGTTCATTATTGGTGTATGAGTGTGCCATTATGAAGGTTGCATACTGACCTGACACACTGACCCCGACCCCCGACCCAGTTCTGTCGTCGGGTTCAGCTAGTAGCCGGTATCAGTCTGGGATATCGCGGCCGGTCGCGACTACAGGACGGTATTCAGAAATTTTTGATGTTGCAGAGCCCTTTATCTCGGTTCCCTTAAGACATTGGTGTATATGGTACTAAGAAAAATTGCTTATGTTTTCAAGATCTACACGTCGTGTAAAGGAAAACCCCAACTTTGCGGACACCCTGTATATATATATGTACGAGCCCCTTTCCACTTAAGTTGGCTCAACTATTGAAATCTTAGTTTTTTTCTTATCAAACACAAATAATAAAAATGTAGCAGGGTGTTATAGGTTTAACATATTAACAATAAATATTTTGATAATATATAGTAGAAAACACCAACTTTATCACTCCCTAATCAAATTTGCAGCATAAGAATAACACATCTTGCAATTACAGCATATCAACCTATTTTCATTTCAATACAAAATAAGTCTATAACGCATAGGTGGCTGTGAAAAATAAAAGCCATTACAATTGTTTTTATTAATCACAGCTGTCAGAATACGTTTAAAATAGTTTTGGGTAGTTAAGGTTTTCAAAATGGGTAGTGGAAAGGTTATTAGTGAGAAAATTCGGTTACTGATAATTAAATTTTTTAATTCTGGGAAATCAAACCCAGAAATTGCAACTTTGTTAGACTTATCGCGGTACAGTGTGAGAAATATTGTTAGAAAATATAACATAACTGATTCAGTTAATATTAAGCCACAATATGTGAAAAAAAGTAATATCACAAATGCCGACCGAAGAGCATTAAGAAGAATAACAGGCGTGTCAATTATTTACAATTAAGTGCTCTGTGGAGTGTCGCTGTTAGAAGGAGAATTTCGAGGTCCACAACTCATAGAGAGGCCCACAAACTGGGATTTAGCACTTGCAAGGTAAGTTTTCTTATAAAAAAAAGTGAAGTAAAAACACTAAAGTTGGACAACTTGTTTATAGGCCAAAGAAAAGCCACTATTAACTCCACTGCAAAAGAAAAATCGGCTTAGATGGGCTAAAGAACATAGACAATGGACACGTCAACAATGGTGTGCAATACAATGGAGTGATGAGGCCCGATTCGAAGTTTGTGTTGGCGACAGTCGCAGTAGAGTTATTTGCAAAAAAAAATGAAGCATTCCATGTTGACTGTCTGAAGAGAAAAGTGAAATTTCCAGCATCCATTATGGTCTGGGGCAGTATGTCATCAACAGGAGTGAGAAAACTTCATTTTATTGATGGAAATGTGGATACAAACAAATATTTGGCAATTTTAGAAGAATCGCTTTTACCAGTGATGGAAGAATGTTTGACTTCCGGCCAAGATTTTGTGTTTCAGCAAGATGGTGCAGCGTGCCATACCTCAAAAAAGGCTATAAAATGGATGGAAGAAAATAATGTACCACTTTTGAAATGGGTTTCTAGCAGTCCAGATCTGTCACCTATTGAAACTTTGTGGCACGAGATGAAAAAGGTTCTACGACAACATCCTGCTCATACAATCACCGAACTGAGACAAAAGCTTCAAGAAATATGGGATTGTTTTACACCAAATTTTTGCCAAAACTTGGTTGACACTATGCCCCAAAGAATTCCGGCCGTAAGAAAAAATAAAGGTGATGTTACCCAATGGTAATCTTTCAATTGTTGCTTTGTTAACTTCGCGCATTTATTCGCACATTGTTTATTTGTTCAGATGTTCTATTAGTTATAGGTCTAAGTGATTTCAAATATGTATTTTTTACGACTAGAGTCTATCTAAAATGTTTTTAGGAAAATAAATTGTTTTAGAAGGAAACAGTTTCGTCATGTTTAGTTTATAAAGGCATATTTTAGTACAAATCTTGAAGTGGACCAACTGAAGTGGGAAGGGGCTCATATATGTATATATATATATATGAGCAGTAGTCATTGCCAACGCCAACGACCAGTTGGGCACAAAATACAATTAATTGTTAATTGGGAAATTGACAAATTTTTAGGCTTAAGTTGACTCTTTTGACGACAAAATCAACCTTTCAACACAATTGTGATGCTAGCAAAGAATACAGGACAGATTTAAATTGTCAAACAACTTACTCGTCTTTGAGGTTGCAGCCACAAGGTGTTTCAAAACGAACATAGAGAAGATAGAACTTATAAATATAAAAACAAAAGGACGGAGGCATTGGGCTTGTTGATAACGACAGATACCTTCGTTACATATTAAAAATATCAATACACCCGAACATATTAAAAATTATTAAACATCAGAAGACATTTTAGGAAAACAGTCGGAATGCAGTAGGAGGTTAGTGTGGAATTGCAAAGACAGGACACACAGGTTTAGAGGGAAACGAGACAGCTGACATTGCCAAAGAGTGGAGCTGGCACACCCTCCATAGGGCCTGACAAAGGAGGTAACAGACTCTTTGCTACAGCTGAACGACAACAATAGCCTTAAAGCTTTAGTAGGATTGTACACTGGTCATTGCAAATTGAGTCACCACATAAGTAGACTAGGCATTGCGGAAGATGCTGAGTGCAGACTGGGCATTACCAGAATCAGGTACAACATACTTTGAGACATAGTACTCCAAGCAGAAGACCTGAAGGATATTTCTCCAAACATGTTAACAGACTTCCTCAGGAGGTCGGAGCTACTTGGGGAGATATAAAATGGTGTGAGCCACAATAGAAAAAAGAGTTGCCGTGGAGTATCGTTATTGATGCACTCACAAGAAACCTAACCTATATCAAATTATTTATTTTAAAGGGACTATCCAATAAACTGCAGATACTTCCATTAAAAAAAGTATGTATGAGTCACCATGTAGTTGTGAATCACCCTGTAGACTTACAAAATATTTGTCAAGTAACCTTTTTAGATACCATGCGTAATAACCGAGTTATTTCCCATGCTCATACTAAAAACTCACTCTGTATGTTTAAACTTCTGTTTTTTATATGACATTTTGACCACTGTGGCCTTTTTCAAGTACGAGACAATTCGGTGACAATATATTTAACATGGAAAGCCATGATAGCAAATTTTAATTGGCACTGCACAAAACCAGCAAATCTCAGGACCAATGCAATATTGTCCTGTTGCAGATTTGCAACAATATACCTTTATGACATATTGTCTTATGAAAATAGACTATTTGATGGTGTGCCTAAGACTGAATTCAAAAAATTATCATTTCTCATATATCTACTTTATCAATTCCTAGAGGTCTCCCACATCGAGACACTATGGTAAAAATGCAACATCCATAGCCAAACTAAGAGATTAAATTTATTGATACTTGACTTTGTTTTTGTATGGTGCACATTTTAAGGTATCTAATGTTGTAATGTAAATAAATTAAATAAATGAACTTTACTACCATGTATCTCAAAACTGGATGTTTCATATCAAGCTTTCTTCTTAAAAAAATT